AAGACAAGATAATGCAAATTAGTCAGAAAACTCCTGTTATACAGAACAGGAGCTTAAGTGTTGTCTGTCCTCGGGGCTGGGAGTGCCAAATCCCAAGTACCGGAAAGATCGACCCGTAGCCCCCCCCCCCCTTCCCTGTTGAGGGTGGGGTTGTACATTCTTTCATATAACAGTAACGTACTTATCTCACAGTCGCTGCCCAGGAATCCCGGCGTGCACCTGCAGCTGTACCAGCCGATATGGTCGATACACGACCCGCCGTTCTGACACGGCGACGACTCGCACTCGTCTATTTCTGTGGAATGGGAAACAAAACAGCTGGATAAAAATCATGAACTTTCATCTGAGTGTGTTGGTAGTTCCCTAGTATTTGGTAGACGATGTCGGTCCCCGTCGCAATTGAGTGAGGCTATTTACATCAGAGCCCATCACCCTTCACTCAACCGCGACGGGGGCCGACATCGTCTACCAGATACCTTCGACCCAGAGTTGACGTCACACTTCAAAGAAGTCACGTGACAAGCCTCAGAACCATGATCAGGCACAGTTCTTGATAGTCCACGAGTATCAAGAACCGTGCCTTGGGGCAAATCTTGAATAATCTTTGTTCTTGAATAAGCGGAGACAATCCAGAACCGTGCCTTATCCTAATCCAAACCCAGACCAGTTCAGGCAAAGAACTAGATAGGCACGGCTCTGTATAAAATGTAACCCGTTCATGCATAGAACTAGATGGGGACGGTTCTATATACCATGTAGCCCCTTCAGGTTCTGTATACAAAAGAGCCCTTACCGATTTCGCAGTTTAGTCCAGTGTACCCCCGAGTGCACTGGCAGCCGTATGAGTTCGCCCCGTCCACACACAGCCCGTTATTCTGGCACGGATTCGAGTCACACTCGTCTATATCTGCAATAAAATGATAACCAAATTTTGTTAAATGGTTCCAATGGTAATACACGTAGTATATTGATAGAATAGCCATGTTTAGAATGCATCTCTCACTACCATGCCATATATATCTAAGAACATTCAGTGCATCTAAGAATGCACAAATATGAAAAAAAAGTTTTACCATAGCATATAGCATGAAATTAAGACAGGGCATAAGATAGTCTTATCTGGTGCCTTTGATCTAACTTCCTGTCAGTGTCCCCGGAGTGCCTAGCATGTACAAATAACTACAGAACACAGCTACAGACATACCGACAACAAAAGAACCCATACACGGGGTAACTAAATTAGGCTTCCTTCAGTCAATATTGAACATGGGAAAGGTAGCTATATATATATGATACAGTTAAAATATATAGAATTGATAAAATTGAAAAGTAAATATGATACAAATAAAACATGAATACTCACCGATCTCACACCTTTCTCCCGCAAACCCCGGCAGACAGTCGCACGTGGTGATGAGGGAGTTGAAACAACCCTTACAGGTGGCGCCGTTCACACAGTTACTGCACTTGTCGTCAGGCGATTCGGCTTCGTAATAATCTACATGGCAATGTAAAACAACAAAGCAACGTGATGTTGATTTTAAATGATTGGTAAGTGTTGTATCTAGATCCAGGCTTTATTCATAGGTTCTGGATAGTCCTCGCGTATCCAGAACCATGCCTGGGACCAATCTATTGGTAACTGTTGTATCTAGAACCATGCTTTGTCCAGAACCATGCTCAGGCTCGGTTCTGGATAGTCTCCAGCTCTTCACGTATCCAGAACCGTGCCTGGGGTAAGTTTACGTTCTTGGATACTTGGAGACTATCCAGAATCGTACCTAATCCTAACCATAACCCATTCACATCTCCTTGTCCATGGACACGCTTGTTACTATGGTTACCGGTTACTATGGTTACCCGTTACTATGGCTACCCGTTACTATGGTTACCCGTCACTATGGTTACATGTCGCTATGGTTACCTGATGCGCAGACGAAGGCCTGCTTGCAGTAACAGGGATACGGCGCCCAGTCACACCCCATCTCCTTGTCCATGGACACGCACAGCTCTTCCGCCTTCTCGCCCGCCCACGGCTGCCACTGGCCTGTGGAAAGGATGGCATTGTGGTTAAATTTGTTGACTTGAATCTAAAGGCTTCTGTATCTGTAGGTAGAATCCCTGGCGGCCTCAAGCAGGAACACAAACCTGTCCCGAGCATTGATGCTTCTAACCCTGAGATAAGAGATGCTGTACTAGGTGCGTGAAGACAATGGCTTCATGTGAAAGGTTTCCTTTTTACTTGGCTTCTACAATCTCCCTTCAGTAATAACGCAAGCTCGCACACAATGCTTCTAAGTTATCCTCCCATCATCATCTTAACATTCCTATAGAATTATGTCCATCATTCTCTGATTACCATATGATAATTAATGTTGTCTTTAGTGCAATGAAAAAGGTATTGTTACTGTAGTAGAACGTCCTGCTTTTACATCTCTCTATTACTTAATATAAGTTATTTTTGTTTAATGTTACGTACCGTTCACTTTTGTCCCATCTTCGTAGGCAGGAGACCAGGGTCCGGTGGAGACGGCTACACCGATCCAGTGTGTCACGTCATTTCTCTCCTTGATGAAGGTCTTCAGGATGTTGTGCTCATTGTCGTCTGAAACCTGTTAAGTAAAGATGCAGGTAATTATTATGTAACTACTTCTCTGGTCGGACTTTATATATCCTATGTAAAGCTGTGAAAATTTTGGTTTGGGCTTTAGACTCCAATCTTAGTGTAAAGTTTTGTTAGCGCTATTCTGGTGTTTTTAGAACTCAGGGGGTGGGTAATGGGTGATTTTCCTTACTGTGTATAGCTAAGAAAGGAAAGGGAATAACTTAAAAGACAAAAAGAGGGTAAGAAGGAAGGGATTGGAAGAATAACTGGAAAGATAAGACTGTGAAGACAGATAGTTTATCGGCATGTATGTAGTCTCTACCAGACTAACTACGCTGGCTACATATAGGTCTGGAGAATAATTGCCAGGGGAGTTTGGCCGCCTTGTTAGTTTGACTGGGCCGCTTCGGAGGGAAAGAAACTACCTCCCCGCGGCCGGACTCCCTTGGCCCATTTTACTCTCTTTTTTGCCGAATTGTACGATCCGTATTCCCGTAGGAAGGCCTGGTGGAGGCTAGCCTATAGCTTAGAAAGAAGAAGGGAAGAACGTAAAAGGCAAAAAGAAGGAAGGATGAAAACGATTGGAGGAATAACTGGAAAGATAAGATTGTGAAGGCAGATAGTGTATAGGCATACATGCACCTTGATAGCCTCCACCAGGCCTGTCTACGGGAATACGGATCGTGGAATTCGGCAAAAAAGAGAGTAGAATTGGCCAAGGGAGTCAGGCCGCGGGGAGGTAGTTTCTTTCCTTCCGAAGGCGAATCAAACCTACAAGGCGGCCAAACTCCCCTGGCAAATATTCTCCTATATATAGCCAGCGTAGTTAGTCCAATAGAGACTAGTACCTTTACAAGGCTGCCGCCCATGGCTTTGCAGGTTGCCGAGGCCTCGCTGTGGTTCTTGATGGCAGCCGGCGCGGAGAGACCGTAACACTTGTCCCCGAACTTCCTCACCATCGCTACGGGAGGATCTGTGGATAAAGGAGGTAAATCAGTCACCTTTTCATGGAGACGGGAGACGATACCAGCTTCTAGGGTAGCTTGGAGTCCAGCCTTGTTAGCTTTAGTCTGCTCCCCAAGATCCGCTCCCCGCCAACTGTAACTTGGGGAGCGGACCAAAGCTAACAAGGCTAGACTCCAGGCTACTTCTAGGGACCTTTGACCCAGTTCTATAGCCATGTGCCTTTGAGGTCAGTGACCTGGACCAGACATCTATCACCATGGTAACTGGTGATGTATGGTGTAGTGTTACATTATGTAGCAAGGTGCAAGAGGTTACAATGTATATGTTTTAAATTAGTAAGAAGAAACAGAGCAGTACTTTTAGTATATTGTTAGGCTAGACCATGTGAAGGTTAACATCTAGTTTTTCTTAAGATTTGACTTACCATGGTAGGGGCAGGCATCTATGGCGGCCTGGATGGCTTCCCGCCACAGCGCCTGGTCGTACACCTGCAGGCACGCCAGTCTACCCTGGAACGTGGTGGCCGCGTTCCCGTTATGCCCCGCGCGCAGACGGCGCCCGTAGGTGGCCAGGTTACCGGGGTACGTGAAGGTCCCGGAGTAGACCTGTCGACCGTTCACCCACATGGTCACTGCGCCTGTAACCGAGACGGGGGGCGACACAAGTTATCTGGCACGTATGTCTCTGACGTGACGTTCCAAGAGTAGAAGGAGTCAGCCGAAAATTTTGGGTAAGCCGCAATCCATTCCAGTGTTAGCACAGAAAGTTTTGACTTTATTTCATTGATTATTGTGTGTTTGCAGTGACGTTATAATAATGTCCGTTAGGGCCCATTTCATGCTGATATAATCTTAACTGTAACAATCACAACGCATTTTTTATAATTTTGAAACGTACCTGTGCTGTATTCGTAAGAGGCGGCCACGAGGTTCCATTCGTTGAGTTCCAGCCCCTGTTGGGAGTGGTTAGGTGAGGAGTACTCTGTGTCCTTCTGCGGAAGGAACATCAGGTTGGTGCCCGTACCGTCCGTGTAGGGCCACAGCATCACCCCCAGGCGACCTGGTGGGACCAACCATGATAGTTTTTGCCAAATAAGGAAATAATTGCCAAATAAGGAAATGCTTACCAAATATGAAAATGGTAACCAAATGATGAAATGGTTGCCAAATAGGAAAAGGGTTACCAAAGTAAGGCAATTTTTGCCAAACAAGGAAATGGTTGGCAAATAAGGAAAGGGTCGCCAAATAAGGAAATGGTTACTAAACAAGGAAATGGTAACCAAATAAGGAAAGGGTTACCAAATAAGGAAACGAATGCCAAATAAGGAAATTATTACCAAATTAGAAAATTGTTGCCAAATAAGGAAATAGTTACCAAATAAGGACAGGGTTACCCAATATGGAAAGGCTTACCAAATAAGGAAATGGTAACCAAATAAGGAAATGGTAACCGAATAAGGAAATGGTTTAGTCATTATCTATATATCAACATCAAGCTTTCTTTCCTTTGCCTAACCTGGTGAAACATATGACAGGATGGGCCCTGCTGCGGCGGCTAGAGGATAGACCGCTGCTACGATGGTGATGGAGTATTTGGTGTCCAGCTTCCCGTTGTTTGGGAACTCTACGTAAGAACTCAGGCTGCCCTGGAAGAAGTAGGAGCCGCCATCTTGTCCCAGAGGGCCTTGGTCCAGGACGACGTTTTCCATGAGGACTGCGTCATTTCCGTTTCCGCTGACGTCCCTTCCCTCGTAGTCTTTGTTGAGCGGCCAGAAGGCAACTGGCTGTACTGGTAAGTCTGAAATGGATGAATGAATGAATGAATGAATGAATGAATGAATGAATGAATGAATGAATGAATGAATGAATGAATGAATGAATGAATGAATGAATGAATGAATGAATGAATGAATAAATAAATGAATGAATGGATGAATGAATGAATGAATGACATTTATTGTACGTATATGCTCTTACAAGCTATTAGTAAAGGCCATGAACAAAGAGGGAAAAACACTAAAGCTCTAACACTTTAACTATACACACTATTTTATGTGATGTACTACTAGTATATGTCTACTACAGGTTCAACTTCTGAATGGACCTCAAAAATTTACGCCCATGATTTCACAGCAAAAAGGAGGATGAAAGCCACTCACGAGTTAATTATGTTTATCGAAGGAAAACATATTGTTTTTGCTGTGTTTTCTTCTTCTTACGTTCTAGATGCAAAAGGTCAATGACCAGAACCAGACGTCTATGACCATGGTAACTGGTGTTGGGTTAGCACATGTTGCAATTTTATAGCAGGAGGGATTTAGATTTTCTATATATGAATATGCTTCAGTAAGAATTAACAGAGCAGACCATATGCGGAGGTAAACATTCTGCATTTGCTTTACAAATGTTACCTTTCTAGTAAATGTCGAGGATTGACTTGAAATTTAGGATTTGTAAACGGGAAGCCACCCTAACACGTTATCAGAGTCTCTGATCAGGATCTCTATATATTTCTTTTGGGTGGTGCATGCGTACCTCTGAGCCCATTGATGATCCATTCGTTGTTATTGTCCTGTGCCTGGACGCTGATGCGCATGAGCACTAGCCCCAGCACCGCAGTGACCCATGGGATAAGAGAACCTCTGGCCGCCATTTTGTTTTTAAACCTGATGAAGTATAAAAAAAAAGAAACTTTATCAATTTTGTTAGCAGAAATTGGGAAGAAATGTTTAAACTTTAGTCTTGCTTGGAGCTTTCTCCTACACTAAATTTTACTTTTAAATCAATACTACTGTACAAATTACAAGCACACAAAATCTGTGAAAGACACCTAGTTCTCAATATGGCATATTATGTTAAGTTACTCCGTCAAGTTAAAACTTTTGGTTCAACACAACAATTCTCTCACCTAGAGCTTCCGACCAGTCTTCCTCGGTAGACTGACCCAGTGAAGCTTGTGAGAGAATTTTTTGTGTTGGACCAAAATTTTTAACTTTAAACATGTAACATGTAACTACGAACACAGATGAACTTTCATGGTACATGTAGTATAAGATTTATTCACATTTTGATTGTCCCTAATCGCTGCCCTGTCTGTCGCATTGCGTGCCAACAATAACATGTGTTGGTGGTTTGGCGTTAAGTTGAATCAAAACCTTTGAATCTTGGTCAGCAGCCATAATAGATACTTGTGGTTTGGCCACCGGCCACAGTAACATCCTGCGGACCATGTCTAACAGTTTGTCTAGACAGAATTTCAACCCGAGTTACCCAAACCATGAATCTTCGTCCTTCTACTAAACGTATTCAGTTTTTTAAACGGTTTGAGCTCCTTACTGTAACAACGCATTAGAATTATCGCATTACATTGCTACAACATGGTTTCCCGTCTGGTTTAAGACCAATGTTTAGTACTTTGGCTAATCTCCAAGCAGATGGTACGGATGCAAGACAGTATCCAATTGGCCAGAAGAATGGCCATTAGCAGAGGAGTGACCACTAACCGTACGGTGGCCAATGGACACTCCACTCCTCTAGTCAATTGGATACTGTCTTGCCATCTGCTTGGAGATTAGACTTTCGCGTGTGTGCATTCTACCATACGGTGTCATCAGCCTGGTTATTAAGGGCAGACTTTAATCGTTAGACGTTATATAGATTACAGTGGATTATAGAAAAGTTTATTTCAAATTCGTGCCCGGAGGCTAATTGAAAATTACAAAACATAAAAGAACAATGGAATAGAGTATAAAATAACTAAAGTCTACATGATAAAGGTAGCTGTCTAGAACTATAACTATGTCAAAAACTATGTCTGAAGGGTTTGACTTCTCTTCTGTAAACCATGGAAGACGTAATGTCCCACATTTTCCAAAATTTGTGGGTTTTGGGAAGTTAAAATAATTAATTATAATCATGACACTGTGTTATTCTAATATGAAGGTCACGTAAGGGCAGGGAAACAGGCCTGTCAAGCTCCTAGTAAAAAAAACCTGATACTCTGACATAATGGAAAGCCAAATTCCTCTCTTTTAGAACACAGGCTATGGCCATACAGTAGAGCTTCAAAATATCAAAGCTACTGAAATTCCTGGTCTTTTTCAGGTGATTAGAATGAAGAATGGTCCGTGATATCCGCTCTGAAGACTGTAACTCATTTCAGTTGTAAGGTAGAGGCGCGATATCAAGACGGGACCCGAACTACTGACCTCCGGATCTGGCACTGCTCCACTAACCCACATAAGTCACTCAGGGCAGATCTAAATTGTTCCAGTGGTTCCTGTTACTGTTAGAATATTACTTACATGTGCTACAGTTCCAATTGCTTTTATGTAAAAAGTGAGCGTGTACATGTGTGTGCATGTGTGTGTGTGTGTGTGTGTGTGTGTGTGTGTGTGTGTGTTCATGTGCGCATGGTGTGTGTGTGTTGTGTGTCTGTGTGTTCGTGTGTGTGTTCATGTGTGCATGATATGTGTGTGTGTGTACATGTGTGTGTGTGTGTGTGTGTGTGTGTTCATGTGTGCATGGTGTGTGTGTGTTTATATGTATGTGTGGTTTGTAATAATGTACGTGTGTCTGTTTTTACCGAGTTTAACTTGCAGCCATTATATCACTAGATACACTACATGAGCCATACTCTTGCCTTTTATCACTTATCAGACACGTAGTCAGTATGTCAGATCCCTTTAAGTTCAATCAGGGACAGGCTCTTAAAACACAGGAACTGGGGATGGAATAACAGACGACAGAAAAGGCATTCGAAGGATGCAACGTAAATCGGGTTGAATGAAAACACATTCAACCCCGGGAGACCTTAGACTATATTTGGAGTCCTAAACGTATCGTCTTTTACTGCAGGGTAGGATTAAGATGATAAATATCACACCAACTCTTTTCTTAATTTCCCGGGGGTTATTTTTAGTGTCAGTAACCTAGCTTACAGCAGACACACTTTGAGATAAAGCCACTGTCACACATTCAGAACCTTCCTCCGACCAAGTACCAACAAAAGTTCGGGAATTTCGGGAGCAGTCTGGTCATGTTTGAGTCAATTTTGACTCCCAACTACGCCCCGACCACTGCCGACCTACTCCCGAACACAAGCCAACCACTAGCCAACCATGGACCACGAACCTCCTGTCCACAAGAGAATGTTTAAAACATTAGGGAAACGACTAATAGCCAACCTCGCCGAACTGTAAGCCAACCACAGCTGACCTTGCTCCCGACCTACTCCCAACCATGTGGTTGGGGGGAGTTCGGCAGTGTTCGGGAGGCTATAATTATTAAGCGTAGTAGTAGAAGTATAAGATTTTCCAGACAGTAGTTATCTGTTTCCTATTATTGTATTGTACTGTACAGTATCTTTAACTCTGTAAAAGCAATTAGCCTTCAGGCATATTTTGGAGATGGAGGCCCTATATTATTCAGCTGTGTGTGTGACAGGAGCTTTAGGACACGGTCACATTTCCAAGCCCGGGCCCGGCTGGGTTGCGTGAACGAAAAATATTAAACAATTTGTATTAAGAGTATACACAAATAGTCCTCATGGTTAATTTTTTAAAAACCTTTTTTGTGTGTGTTTTGTGTATGTTTTTCGTTCCATACGACTGCCCGACCGGGCCCCGGGTTTGGAAATGTGACCGCGCCTTAACCCGGGTTAGAGCAGACTCTCTCTTTGACATAACCAGGATTATGGGTTAGAGGGTCAGTCTTGATTACCGGGGTTGCTGTGTCAACAGAAAAGGCATGTTCACATCCTTAGGAGACTGAGAGGAATTTAGCACTAACGCGCTGCTATAGCTAGGACTAAACTTAACCTTTGCATAGCCTCCGTAGCAGGCTTATAGAACTGGGGGTTTGGTGGTCTTCGGCTGTTTTCTGATTAGTCCAGTTCTAAATTATAAAACGGGGGTAATTCAACCAGGCCGGCTATGTTGTCTACGTGTAATCAGAAAATAGCACATAAAAGCTCCCAAAGACCCTGAAGAACCCCAAACCCCCACTAGTTTTTGACATGCTATGGAGGCTAATCTTTGCAACAGTTTGAAACGGCTAACCCTCTGCATATCACTGAGAACTGTGAAGACTCAAAATTGATTTTTGCCTTTCTATTCTATTCTATTGACATGTCCTCAAAACTCGTATTTATGACCTTTGAAAAATCAGTTATATACATTTTACCATTATGTTAAACGTTTGAAGACTTAAACAGTCATTTAAGAGGACTCTCTTTGGTACATATTTCCTGGGTGGAGGCATGTTCCTCTGGTATTAGCTCTTTCTTTGAAATCGTCCAAAATATACCTTTACCGTGAAAATTTAGGAACACGAAGAACCTTCTTAGCACTTGCTAAGTCTTCTTTAATCAGCTTCAGCGTCTTGAAGAGATCTTAAGTAGTCACTTGATCCACTGTTCCCATGACCGTACCGTATTAGGTCACTTGGGTCATGGCCCAAGACCATTGCCCTAACCTACTCCAGACATCGCAGAAGCAATTAACCAAATTACAACTATATCTTCTATATACTCCACCTATACATTGTGAAATCGGACCAAGGCTTCTGAAGATACATCTTATATATATATACATAATCATATGTTCATCACAAAACTCGCACCATTATTATCATTGTCATATCATATGCCACTCACCTGAAGATCTGCCGTTGCCGTGGTAACGATAGAACACCGGTTGCCCTGGTAACAAACGAACGCAGGTTCTTCACGTGGTCGCTCGGTAGAACCTCCTGTAGGAACTGTTTTCAGCCACGTGGCGAGGTAGGGCTTAAACCTTTGGATGGTGGTGGACTTATTTACGGGGCGAGTCCGGAATTTGCAGATGTGTCCCTCAACGTCATTACTTCGTTTCTTATGAAATGACTTCGCCATACAACAAGAGTTCGAAGGTCTCATAAGATCTGTGAACTATTTAGAGTGTCTCGTATGTCTTATTTAATGGCAGATCATTAATTAGCACGTAAGGTGCTAATTAACATGATATATGTCATTTGATCACTTCCTGTCAATCTACGTGTTTTACTCGTGCAAAATGTATAACTCCGAAAACATTTTTAAAAACAAACGCACGTACATCCCAGCAAACTATTAGCCTCTTCTTTGGAATGTCTGTAGGTTGTCAGCTAAGGTTCATAAATGACTAACGATACCAACTCTTAGTTCTACCCATACAACTATGACATCTTTAAATTCAAATTTTCAAACAAAAACGATGGACATCAAGTGTGAACAAATTTTGCATTTTTTCTTCTTTTAATCAATATCGATACACTTACATGTCACCAAACAAGCCTTTGACATGGTGTCGCCTGTAGACAAGTGGTAACGTGTAGAATTTATAGGACGAGTAAGTATTTGCAGGTCGCAGCCGGGACAGATACACGGGCGCTGGTCACCTCATGGTCGCAGTTAGGCATGCAGGCAACTGGAAACAGGTGTAGGGAAGGCATGGCTACTCTCCAAGCACATGTTTAGAGCCCAGTAGATGAAACTTGCAATGTAACCTATGGTTTAAGTTAGTTAAAGTCCTTCCGGTACCATGTGCATAGGGCGGCGCCCTAGCCTCTACCAGGCTTCGGTAGGCGGCTGGAAAGAGTAGAAATTGACCAAATAGAGATAGCGTGGTAAGGGAGTTTGGTTGGCTGGAGAGAACAGTTTGGCATGCTATCTCTATTTGGCCGATGTCTGCTCTTTCCAGCCGCCTCCCGAAGCCTGGTAGAGACTAAGGCGCCCATCTCCAGTTCCGTACCCTTGGGCCACACAGTTGTGCCATCACTACAGCAGGGGGGCAGTCCGCTATATATAGTGGTGTGTGTTCAAATCCCATACTCTTTCCCAAATGCTAAGCAGAGAAAGCAGTATGTACCATTTTCAAGGTCTTTGGGAGAGAATAGAATGCATGGCTGCTCTCCAAGCACTGTGACGCTTGGGGAGGGGGTTTGATGCATTTTGCAATGGAACTCATGATAAAGCCATGAAAAACACACTACTATACCTATATTTCAAATATCAAGTCTTGAATTATAACATTTGACGAGGAAAAAATGCAAAATGGGGGAGGGGGTACTGGCAACTTAAAAGGCAAAATTCGGGAAGGGCTTGATGTTTAATTGACTTATAATTGCAAAAGGTTTTGGAAAAAAGTTTTTTTTTATTGCTCCATTCTGCCAGTTTTTCTGGCAAAACTAGTTTGCAAACACAGACTCATGAAATTTGCACAGACTCAGTGCAGGTATGAAAAAAAATATACAACGTATATTGAGACCTGCATGGTGATTATAATTTACATAATGATCATAAATATTAGCATTATTCAAATAACCAGTTTCAGACAATCAACACCACCATCTTACATAAGACCAACCTTGGGTTGTTTCTCACACGGCATTTCAGATCAGCCACGAAGGACGCACCACAGACGACAAGCGCCGGAGCTTCTGTATCTGTATCAGCATAACACACCAGCTTCTGTATCTGTATCTGTATCAGTATAGCCGGTATAACCACCCTTCAGCGTAACACAACAGCTTCGCAGGCACGCGGCGCGGCGGCAGCTGCCTTGAGGCATTCTGCACGAGTTCCTCCCCAGAACCTGCCAACAAAAAAAGTCAACTGTCTTAAAGGTATGTTTCTGCCAGTAGATAAAAATGTTAGAAAGGAAAATCTACTGTGATAATATACCTTCATCATATTTTAGTCCATACCATGGGTAATCATTTGTTTTTTCCATCGTGTTCCTTCTCCTTCTGCCATTTCGTTTAATGGATTCAATTTCTTCATTTTTCTCCAAATGACCTGAAATTTGGCATGAAGGTATGGTGGCCAGACGTTTGCATTCTTCATTTCCTGGATACAGGCATTTGAAATTGTTTTATTTGTTTGTTAGGCAAAAAATGGGTATTTTGGTGTCTGGGGCCCTGGTTTGGCTCAATTCCCAATGCAGATTCTAAATTCTACCTGTTATAACTGGTGAGGGTAACGACAGAAAAAAAACGAGCCATATTAGAAAGGTAACAATGTTCCCCACGAATATCTGCTTGGAAAGTAACGACTACAAGTAATGCACTGATCAAAACGTTTTAGATCTGTTGCATGATTGTACTCTCAGAAAGGAAGCTTACAGTATCACCCACAGCAAGGACATTACACACGTGTAATGTCCTTGGCCACAGCTTATTTCGTTACATAGCTTTAACAGAAGTTTTAATTTCTTCAGTTAGTTTATTGACTAGGGAGTTACTAAGGAACACTGATATGTCTGTTTGGATATTTAAGAACTAGGCAGACGAATCTTTTTCAGGGGATTTTGTATGATTGCCTTATTCTTTTGCTAATCTCTTATCTGGCGGGTGGAAACAGAGGTAAAAACAGCTGTAAAACAGCACACAATCTTAAATGTTAATATTCAAACATCTAGTTTCAGACAATCAAAACAACCATATGCATATAAACAGCACCACATTAATGTAAAACAGTTTGTTTCACACTATAAAGGAGTAAATACGTAAGCAAGTGTCCTTCGACAACAACAGCCTTGAATTTTAAATAGCCAAACAATAAGTACCGTTCCAAACTTTCTAACTTTTAAACTACACTGATTCAGTGAAATGAATGGAATAAATGAATGAGTAAATGGATTAATGAATGAATGCATGGATGAATGGCAGTCAGGAAAACCTAAGAAAATCAGGTCGAGTTACTATTTGTCCTGGATTTAACGGATACAACATGTTGGTAGCTTAACAGAAGAGCTTTCCGTTCTTTTTAGGACACCATGGAAAGAAAGCTGAGACACGTGCTGATTTGTCGAGTTACGATTTGACCTGAAAAAATGAAATAAGTACATACAATAAATGGGTGGCTCAACCATGGGGTTTTCTGTTCTTTTTAGGTGGCCGGACAGCATGGGAAGAAAGCTGCGACACGTGCTGATTTTTCTTCTCATCATCCTGGTGGAACCTAACACACCAGAAGCTACCTGTAAACAGTGTGAACCATTTTCACCCTGCAGATGTGAGGTACAGAAACTCCGCAAAATCCCACAGGACCTCCCAACATCCATCTCTGAGTTGTGCTTGCGAGCTAATTCTTTTAGGACTCTAAATCCGCGTATGTTGTCGAGGTATAGGGATTTGATTGAGTTGAATTTTGAAGATAATAGCATTCGCACTGTTGCCCATTTCCCCAGTCTGCCCAGGCTTCGGAAGTTGAGCTTCCGGCGTAACAAAATAAATAACGTCCATTCCAATGCATTTGAAAATCTACCACAGCTCCAAGAGTTGCACTTAAGTAGGAACAAAATAACTAATATCCACCCTACTACATTTTCAAAACTATCCCAACTAAAAGAGTTGTTCTTGTTCGAAAACCAGATAAAAAAGATTAATCTTGGTACTTTCGCAAATCTACCAGTCCTCGACAAATTGTACTTGGGCACTAACAGGATAGCAAATTTTCAGCCAGGGACATTCGCAAATTTACCAAAGCTAAGTTGGTTATACCTGGACAAAAACAGGATAGCAACAATTCAGCATGGTGTTCTTGAAAATCTACCCATGTTAAAATGGTTGAGCCTAGACTATAACCCGATAACAACACTCCAACCCAGCTTGTTTGCAGATCTACCCGTTCTACGAAATCTGAACATTATATTCACCAAAATGAGAAACATTTCGGTGGGTACATTTGCAAACATTCCCCAGCTGACGATTTTGTTCCTGTTTTCTAATCAAATAACAAAGATTCAAACCGGCGCATTTAAAAATCTGCGCCTGCTTGGAACATTGAACCTGGATAGTAACCGGATAACAGCGATTGAGGCTGGTGCATTTTCAAATCTTCCCCAGCTCGAAATATTGTCGTTGTCCTCCAACAAGATAACAAGGATTCAGGCTGGTGCACTTTCAAATCTTCCCCAACTCCGAAGTTTAAAACTTCAGTCGAACAAAATGTTTGCCATTTCGCCTTTAGCTTATGGCTTGTCGCCATCTATCCCTGAAATTAAACTTGACAAGAACCCCTGGCACTGTGACTGTAGGATGGCCCCCTTCAAGCTAAAAACGACTAAATTTCCCTCATTCAAAGACTTGATAATATGTGCCAAACCATCCAAATTCCGAGGAAAGAAGCTTGCAGATGTCAATTATGAAGAATTGATATGTAAAGAGCCAACTGTGTCACCACCTACACCCATCCAAACGACATCTGCATTGTCAACATCTTCAGTTGGCAATACTGAAAGCATTACTAGCCCATCAGCACATAATGTAGGCTTGACATCCTTTTCCACACTGCCTGGCCATGTCCAAGTAAGCTCTAATAACTTATCCAGTGCCAGCGTCCCTTCCCGTTATAACTGGTACTTCATACGCAATGCTGGCTTGACAGAAAGTCTTGTGGGCAAACCAAACAATCCGATATCAACACTAATTCCGTCTGACAAACCAGAAATAAGCATTTCCCAAAAATCTGCTCCCGGGCCCTCCCTACCTGTTCTCATTGGTTCAGTCTGTGGTCCAGTAGTTGGCATTGCTCTGATCGGTGCCATGATTTTCACAATCTGGTACAAGATGAAGACCAGGGACCCTCGCGTTGATCCAAATGTTATAACTGGTACTATACAAACTAACAAATCAGGTTCTGTGATGACCAGTGGTGGTTCTGATCATCTATATGGAGATATTGACAACCAGCAAGATCAGGCAGGGCAGGGTCAGTCTCAGGCCATCACTCAATCCTCCACAAAAACTACAGCTGTTGTAGTAGCTAGTGGCCCTGCTCCCCGATATGAAGATATGAACCAACATAATTCAGCAGCGCAGGGCCAGACTAAGACCAACACAAAAACTTCAGCTGTAGCAAATTTTCCTCATGATAACCGTTATGAAGATATGAACCAACATAATAAGACGGGTCAGGGTAAGCCTCAGGCCATCGCTGCATGCAAAACAAACACCACAGCTGATGTACTGGTGAGTGGCCACGGTCAGACAGGCTATCAGGTTATCAACGAACTCTTGGACACCGAAGGTCCATTATATAACACAGATCAGACTGCCTCAAAGTCAAACACGGAACCCTTTCAAACCAAAGCTTCATTATATGACACAGGGCCGGACGCCTCATACTCAAAGCTAGTTAAAAGCCATTATCAGGGCCTTATTAAATCTACCACTGCTGTAATGACCAGTGGTCAGTCTCAGACAAGCTTTGAATCCAAAACAAACACTACACCTACTGTAGTGACCAGTGACAATGGTCAGACAGAGCAGTCTCCGGCCATTGCCCAGTCTTTGAATATAGGAAACCTACCACGTGATGCATTGCTAGCTGCCCTACAGCCAAATCTTATATATGGAGGTGTTAAAACTTCACCAAGGGACCCAGCATCTTCAGAAATAGCCAGTGGTCATGATCAGACAGGGCAGGGTCAGTCTCAGGCCATCTCTGAATCCAACAGAAACACCACAGCTATTGTAATGACCAGTGGTCATGATCAGGCAGGACAGGGCCAGTCTCAGGCCATCACTGAATCCAACACAAACACCACAGCTACTGTAGTGGCCAGTGGCGATGATCAGACAGGGCAGGGTCAGTATCAGCCCCTAATTAAACCCAACACTAACACTACCGGATAATTAGGGATAATTCATGTTTGAAAATATAGTAACTAAAGCAAAGTACTGATGATGTTATAGAATTTTTTAACTCAATATAAAACAAATTTAATGTTTATGTATCTTAGAATCTTAGAAACTACATTGCAAACTGTCTTAATGAAGAGCAGACAGTAAGACTAAATTTAAAACTTATTTGTTGTGTTACAATAAGGAATGTAAAGTAATTTTGTGGGTTAAAAACTTATAGACTTTAATTTCCATAATATAAAGTTACATTGCTAAGAGAAACTTAATTTAAAGCTCTGTAAAAGGTTTACAGCGAGTACCTGCTGTAATATTCTTCATTTTAATATTGTAACAATTGTGGGTATGACTATCTCTGTAAACAGATGATTTGTTGTGGAACAATGTGAAGTGCAAATAAAACCAGTTTGTTGGTTACATAAAAAATCCAAAACAATAGACTTTCCTTCTCAGCCCTTGAGGTGACGCTACTAAAAAGCATGGTTCTCGGTACAACAGTTCTAATGTCATAAGAACGTTCACGTCACGCCCCCTTGCGACTTTACCGCTAACAGCAGCGAACACCTACATTGAGCCAGGATGACTGTACCGACACCTTTATATCACTTTTTGTCACATCTTTGCGTCGAACATGGCAATGAACCACTTAGTTTCTTTTATCAACATTCAGTCTTGCCATCTCTCGAAATGAGGTAAGTCCAAAATGTCCAAATCACGAGATATCAAAACAGGACTTTCTGCTGTAGTACCAAGGAAAGCCGCCAGGCGGCCCAAAATGTAACCATTTCTAGGTGCTATCAATGCCTACCCACATGCCAAATATCAAGACAATTTATATAATCCTTCTCGAGTTATCGTGTTGACAGACATACAGACAAACTAACACACACACGAACGTCACCGAAAACACAACCCTCTTGGCGCAGGTAACAATATCGTCTGATCTTAGTGCCCGGATGTTCAACAGCCGATCGCGCCACTAGTTGCGTCATGAATTGCTAATGTTAACAAAAATCGTCTGATGTGAGTGCCCGTATGTTGGCGGTCCCGCCCTGTGCAAACTTGTGCAGGCCGACATCGCCTGACGGGCGCGCGGGTCGATACACGTAATTAATCATCCATAACAGAGCACATAGAAGAGGAAACTTGTTTTCATCGTCTGTTAAGCATATATCTATCTAGTCGCTGGGTTAGATGTAACAGGTAGATCGGTGTAATGTAGCCATCTGCCGCCGCGCCGCGTGCCTACGAAGTTGGTGTGTTACGCCGAAGGGCGGTTATACCGGCTATACAGATACAGAAGCTGGTGTGTTACGCCGAAGGGCGGTTATACCGGCTATACAGATACAGAAGCTGGTGTGTTACGCCGAAGGGCGGTTATACCGGCTATACAGATACAGAAGCTGGTGTGTTACGCCGAAGGGCGGTTATACCGGCTATACAGATACAGAAGCTGGTGTGTTACATTGAAGAGCAGTTATAGCGGCTATACAGATACAGAAGCTGGTGTGTTACATTGAAGAGCAGTTATAGCGGCTATACAGATACAGATGCACAGTCATACAGATATGCGTTAAAACTAAGGGTTTACAATTCTACACCCCTAACTTGCATAGGGTCGTCTAAAATAAAACCAACCACTGGCAAGGATCTATGACAGTTTTTCCGTATTATGGCAGCTGAATGTTGCACGACTATGCCAAGAATGCACTCGTAAGACCATCGCGCGATAATCGTGACCAGGCACTATTATAAAGATCAATGATTTAATACGTTATCGGGCAGATATTGTTTGCTCTCGGGGGCAAGTGTTCTGAACAGGCGGTTTATATTGGCTCTTGTCGATGCTTCGATAGATTCGCAATTTTCTTTATGTTTACTGTAAAATTTACTCTTTCCACTAGAAACTACAACCGCTGAGCCACTAAACATTTAACATACAATGTATTGCTCAACGAAATTCATAGATAATTACTTACTTACCAAGTATTATAGTGTCTGTTACTCTGAACAGGCGGGTTATATTGGCTCTTGTCGATGCTTGGATAGATCAGGAATTTTCTTTACGTTTACTTGTAATTGTTTATTGCAAATTCTTGCCCGAGGGCTAATTGCAAGAACAGAAGAAACATGGTATAAAAACAGACAATTAGTATATATAGAACTACTGATAACTACTAAGAAACTACTGGTAAAACTACTGGGTTTGACTTCTTTTTTGAAGACAGAGGAAGACAAAGGATCCCACTTTTTCTGTAATTTGTGGGTTTTCGGATGTTAAGAGGATAGTAGTTTTCTTTTCATTTGTATATGTGTGAAAGTTTGGGTAGAATTTGGAGGCTACGATAAATTTACTCTTTCCACTAGAAACTACAACCGCTGAGCCACTAAACATTTAACATCTTGCTCAATGGATTTCATAGAAATTTACTAATAGTGTCTTCCACTTTAGTCTGTTAAATATATTAAGAGGAAGAACGATTTGTAAAAAAAAGATTTCGTGTCTTTCAAATCATACATTAACATCGTAAATCATATTCAAACACATAAACCAAATTTTGCTAGCTCAGTGATATGGTTTGTATCGTCATTATTTACGAATAAAAAAAAAACACTTGTAAGTCGGATGCAAAGGCCCTGTTCTGTAAATGTTTAAGCCTGCTCCTAATGCGCTTGTTTTGCTGTTGACACTCGCTGATGGCTGTAAAGTAAGGTTACCCTGCTCTGTATCGATATATCCGGTATCACCGCCCTTCGGCGTAACACACCAGCTTCGCAGGCACGCGGCGCGGCGGCAGCTGGCTGCATTACACCGTACGGCTTGTTTCACCTATTTCGCGTACGAAGTAGTTCACAAGTTTATGTATCATACAAAATGTCTTAGTTTTAAAACATGACATGGACAGCACATATTACAACTGCACAGATATTGTACACATACAGGTTTATGTCTGATACTAAAAACTAGTGCGTCATTCCGATTGCTTTTGCTTGCTTCCTACTTATTCGGAATATGAGTCAAGGGATCTAAAGTGAACATGAAGTACATGTGTTGGTTTCGGTGGCATTTCGGGCTATGCTAAGAACCGTTGATAACCTAAGAGGCAAACAAGTCACTAATTTCACATTTTAGAGCGCTCGCTTAAGCACACTCTTGGATCAAACATCACAATATCTACACAATTAACACACTACCCCTTGCTCTGTTACAAACCAGTGCCATGACCCAAATATCAAGACATATGCACGTGCATTACATACAAAAATGTAGTCTTTTATAGCAAAATTTCTGTAATTTCATAAAAGGCTCCAATTGAAATACATACTGATATGTGATGATACCTCCATTGCAAATATAGAACAGCACATACTAGTAAGAATGCGTACAAAATTTTCCCAAAGACTGTACATGTCTATCGCAAGTATATACTAATAGTAATGTACGCAGAAATATCAAGGAGCTTCCTTTTTGAACCTCCTTGGATATAGCATTCTTTATGACACAGCAAAAAGTACAGGGACTTTTGTATGGTCTTCTACAACTAAATATCTAACAAAGCTAAATACATAAATATCTAACAAAGTTAAATACATGTACTATGGATAACACCATCCTACGTACAGATTGTATGTGGCAAATTACGTACAGAATATATATCAGTGATAAAAATAAAGGTTTTACTATTCTTTAACATGTAGTCTCTAAGATTGAAACATTCTTTAATGTATAATAATAATATAAGATAGATTGTATAGACAACTAGCCATTTCTGTCGTATTTTTTTCGGTCTAGCATCAACATGAATACCGCCGTCTCGCCGGAGTTGACGGGGCGACTCCAAACTCCGCTGCTTCTCTAACTTTCAAGCAAACACTCCAGCGGCAAGGAAAACAATACGGCAGGCTTTTGACGTGGGCAGTGTTTGCCTCGGAGGTTGAGTTGTGTTTGCCGAGAACAGTCCATCTTCGCCCATTGCGGGGGTGGTTTAGTTTTTCATGAACTAGAAAAAACTCTATCAGTAAATAAAAACCTACTTGTATGGTCCGTCGGTATTGTAGGTGTCTTTGCTGCAACTTAAGAAGAATTAAAAGTCATTTTGAACAGTTTGAGTCAATGTGAAGTCTTTTTAGAAGCCCCTAAGGAGACAATGGTAGGTTCCAAATGTTTTTCTGTCCTCCTGTCGTCTGTCTGTTGTAGGATTAATTAAAGTCGCCACCAGGGCTCCAGAACCTACTCAGCAGTATCCACCAACCTGCAGGCTACAGTCGCTGCCTCTGATGCCCTTCTGGCTAGTCTCTACCAGACTAACTACGCTGGCTATATATAGGAGAATTTACCAGGGGAGTTTGACCGCCTTGTAGGTTTGACTGGCCGCGCAGTTAGGGAAAGAAACTACCTCCCCGCGACCGGACTCTCTTGGCCAATTTTACTCTCTTCTTTGCCGAATTCTACGATCCGTATTCCCGTAGAAAGACCTGGTGGAGGCTGCCTTCTGGCCACCTACGGAGACCACATCAGCAGAACGCCGTCGCTAATGACTGGCAAACACGGTAAACTCCGCCATACATGTACGTTACCCGCGCTCTCGGAGAGAAACAACATAGCAGGGTAACCTCGTGAAGGTACTATTTCAAGCTAGACCTGCTGCAGATCAAGAGGAAAACATTACACCATCTGCAACGACGGGACTACTAGCACTACACCTAGTAGAACGGAGCTCAAGCTAGCTGAATCACCATATCTTTCGACGAGGTTATTCGCCTGCTACCAACGATCTCGGAGAGAACAACATAGCAGGGTAACCTCGTGAAGTCACTATTTCAGGCTGAACCGGCTGCAGATCAAGAGGAAAATATTATACCATCGGCAACTACGGGACTACTAGACCTAGGACGTGTTCTAGCTGGATCAACATATCTTTCGACGAGGGAGGTTATACGAAGGGTTCTACACATTTGAGCGGTCTGTTGTTCCAAAGCAAGCACGGCTGGTCGCTAGTGTGGCTTTTAGTTACATAGTGACGGGAGATTTCGCTACAACTTGAGTCCCTTCGAAAAACGCAAAGGAGCAAAAGTTGCTGACGGCTCAAAGAGAACGGTGAATTTTACGTAAGACGTGTGCGCACATTTTCCGACTGTACTAGTATACAGTGAGGTGTTGCCCTGTTGTTTGGGAACAGTTGGTCGATAGCTGGGTACATATTGACTGTACTTATCGATTGGAAAAGGCGAACGCAAAGCGTGGGGAGGGGAAGACTTGGGAGGGATTTCACAGTGACTGGATGGGACTAGAAGTAAGTATGATCTTTTATGACTTTTGAAGTTATCTTGAGTTGTTAGCCTCTACCAGGCACCGCGGATAGCTGGAAAAATACTAGAAATTGGCCAAGATGAAGGAAATACAATACCAGGGGAGTTAGCCGGCCAGAGAGGGTACATTTTGCAACCAACAAACTGTAATCTCTAGCAGGCCAACTCCCCTGGTATGTTATCTCTCTATTTGGCCAATTTCTACTCTTTCCAGCTGCCTCCCGAAGCCTGGTAGAGGCTAATCTTGAGTACCTGTGCCTTTGTATTGGCGACAGATGAGTGACTAAACATTTGATTTGAAAGATAGGTCAACGAATTTCATACAAAAAAATAGCGATTTTTAAAACTTTTTTGTGGGTTTTTGTGGGTGGTGCCTCTTAAATTATCTTTAGCACATATTGTGCATCACATTTCAACTATAAAACAATCAAGGGTTCCACGAATCCAATTTTGGTCGTTTATGATGGTATCTCAGCGATTGCTGGCTAGAAAAAAAGAGGTCCTAACTGCATTTTACGCTTATAGTTCTAAATAATGACTTTGTTGTCATTGTTCCAAATTCATTAATCATAGAAAAGGTTCATCATCGTTATTTGCAATCTACATATGTCATTACAAAAAAATCTTGTAGTAAGCAAATAGCGAATTGAGCAAATATATTTCCCTGTTTCAACATTCAATCATAGGGCACATGTCAACCAGAAAGAGCTTCTCAAACAAGGAAGCAAACACTCATAACATGTAATAGCTTTGGCGCTAAGGCCCAGTGTGCTTGGCCAAATTCTTGGGACACTACATATTGTTGTATCCAGAATCGTACTTTATCCAGAACTATGCTCAAGCACGATTCTGGATAGTCCAATTTTGGAAATTCTTGGGACAGTTACATTTTGATTGTATCCAGAATCGTGCTTTATCCAGAACCTTGCTCAAGCATGATTCTGGATAGTCCAAATTTGGTCAAATTCTAGGGGCACCACAATTTAGTCAAATTCTAGGGACACCACATTTTGATTGTATCCAGAATAGTGCTTTATCCAGACTCTTGCTCAGGCACGTTTCTGGATAGCCCACGCGTATCCAGAACAGTGCCTGGGGCTAATCTACGTTCTTGGATACGTGGAGAACTATCCTGAACCATGCCTGATCCTAACCCTAACCCAAAAATTAGCTTTAGAACTGGATAGGCACGGTTCTGGATACAATATGGATGACTGCAACATCAATGCCCGCGCGGACGTCATCCATACAAAATTACTCGGTGTGGCCTAACACAACACTAGCGTTCTAGCCTCCACAGCATGCCAAAAACTGGGGGTTTGGGGGTCTTTATGGTCTTTGGGAGCTTTTATGTGCTATTTTCTGATTGCATATAGACAGCATAGCCGGTCTGGTTGAATTACCACCGTTTTTTTAGAACTGGGCTAATCAGAAAACAGCCGAAGACCACCAAACCCCCAGTTCTATAAGCCTGCTACGGAGGCTAATCAGAAAACAGCCGAAGACCACCAAACCCCCAGTTCTATAAGCCCGCTACGGAGGTTACTAGCGTTCAGGGTAGGGTCGTTTGTTCGTTACGGGTGTCAGCCCAACACAACACTGACTGCTTTCTCAACGGAACAATGACTGCCCTTTCCTCGCAGTTCAACCGTGGCGGACAGAATGGCAAACATGCCTGATAGGTACAACCTGCGCAGCGTTCAGCGCTCTAAGTGTGGGTGGCTTGTTGTAACTAGCCTCTACCAGGCTTCGGGAGGCGGCTGGAAATAGTAGAAATCAGCCAAATAGAGAGATAGCATGCTAAGGAAGTTGGTCTGCCGGAGAGAACAGTTTGCCGCTCCCGAGAGCAGACCAACTCCCCTTGCATGTTATCTCGCTATTTGGCCGATTTCTACTCTTTCCAGCCGCCTCCCGAAGCCTGGTAGAGGCTAGTTCTAGCCAGAACCGTGTTCGGGCTTGGCTCTGGATGTTCCAGGCGTATCCAGAACCGTGCTAGTGTATCCAGAACCATGCTTAGGCAGAACTATGTCTGGGGTATCCAGAGCCACGCTTTATCCAGAACCATTCTCAGGCACAGTTCTGACTAGTCCACGCTTATCCAGAACCGTGCTTTATCCAGAACCATGCCCAAGACGACGCGTATCCAGAACTGTGCCTGGATAGTATGCGTACATATACACTAATGTTACTAGTATAGCTAGCTGTTCTCCGTATCCATTTCCCCATCTTACACGAACCACATACCTTCATGTACACTCACACATGTTCTTATCGAACCTTTCTCACGACCCGGCTCTCCAAACACCGTTATCTTTCCAAGTGCCGTTTTACCGATTATTTAACATCGAGTATTGCTGTGGTATTGTATCCACGACCGTGCCTATGTATGTATGTATGTATTATCACGATAATTCAGTCTTAGGACTGCAAGTGTGATATATGTGAGGGAAATGTCAAATAAACCATTCACATCTAGTTCTATGTCTGAATGGGTTAGGATTAGGATCAGGCATGGTTCTGGATAGTCTCTGTTGTACCCAGAACCGTGCCTATCTAGTTCTATGCCTGAATGGGTTAGAGTTAGGATCGGGCACGGTTCTGGATACTAGTAACGTTAGTGTTCGCGTATCCAAGAACGTAGATTGCCCCAGACACAGTTATGGATACGCGTCGACTGATAGCTTTAGGCTCGAGATGCAGTACCGCTAGCTGCCGCAATACATTGTAGGCGTGGCTTGACAGGCTAGCAACGTTATAGTTTCCACGTTGTTTGGCGCTGTTTTCGGCAGGCTGCGTCCATTTGGTACTGGTAGTTTTCTACTATAACTTACCAGGACTGGATGTTAAAAAGAGTTCTCGGCTTCGCAAAGGTACGTCCTGACAACTAGGTAACGTTTGTGAACAGTTTGTAGCGTTAGAAGGTTTGTAGCGATGGTTTTTGTGTGTGACTGTTTTGACGTCACGATTGGGACCTTGTTTTTCTTCGTGTGGCGTTTCAGCCTTGTGCTACGTTGTGACACTAGTGATGTGGCTTTTATCCTTATTGTATCAATTTAAGAACTTCAGAAAGCTGAAAGGAGAATTACTATACATCGAGGACGTTTTTCTGTGGTTCTACTAGTACAGTTAATTTGTTGCAATTGCTTTGTCAATTTTTGTTCCGGGTTTTGGCCATGTTTTTGTCACATTTACCTGTACCGTCGTTTCCTTGTCACATACTTCTAAACCCTTTCAAATGTATCGTACATTCCTAACATCTTGTACTTCCATTCTTAGTCTTTACTAGCTAATTAAGCTCATTTGAAACACATTTGCTTTACATAAATGTTCTCAAAAAGACAATAATGTTGACATCAAACCTAAGCCCAAAACTTTGATTCTACAGAAATATTGTGTCGCTTAATTATTCAATTTTACATCATAAGTCGCCATAGTGATTGTATCATGCGGTAATTATTAGTAGGGAAGTAACAGTATGATGGTTCAGGCATAGATAATAATACAGAAATACATTATGTAGGGCAAAGGTGGCCAGGTGTTATTTTGGTTACTCGGGGTTGTTGATTTAGCATATATAACTTAGGTTCTGGGTTCGGATATCTGTCAGGGCCTAATGTTGTTCCCTTTGAAAAGGCTCCGACTCAAAAATGAGTACCTAGCTTACTCTCTGATGGTGGGTCGTAAAGCCCCCGTGTTTATACAGCCACATTTTGAGCATGTTAAAAAATCTACCACACAAATATAGTACATAAATCGTACAGTCAGGTCTCCAGGTTGGCATCTTGAAAAGATCATGATAGTCACCTGTTATGCCTATCCTTCAAATGTGATAAATATTGACAACTAGCCTTTCTGGTTATTTTTCCACTTTGCTATCCTATATCAGGGGTGCCAAAGAATTCATGCGGATTTTATGGAATTCATACGAATTTTACGAAACACATACTATTCGTCACAAGGAAACATACGAATTTCACAAAATACATACATATAGAATACAACACGGTGTATTCCGTATCGCCCGAGGTACCAGCCCGACCGCGCGTCGGATCGCCCGACGGCCGAAGGCCGGAGGGAGATCCGATCCGCGGAGGGCTGGGACCGGACGGGT